ACTAACGTAACGTACAGCATGAATAGTTCCGGGCAGTGTATGCCCCACAGCTCATTACCGGGGGCTCCAGTTAGAAGACTGGACTACTACTGGCAATCGGGGCAATCAGAACGAGCCCCATACAGCACTCGGCACTCGGCACTCGGCACAGCGGGTGTGCCTTGTATAATGTATAATTAAAGATCTCCCCCCTCTCTGCCCGGCACCTGTCCCCCGGGGGCCACAGACAGGTGCAAGGCGTAAGAGAGTGTTTCGATTCGTTTCGTTATTGCCATCCAGCATCGATTGTCCGTCAGTTGACGATGATAAATGTGTCGCATGAGCCCAGACATAAATGGTTTGATTTGGTGGCAGCCTCCACTCCACTCCGCTCCACTCCACATCCCATCACTCCCCTTCCCAGCACTCATTCCGCTGCGTATGGCAGAGCAGGTCACCGGCAGAAGTCGTCATCGCCATCGCCTCGATACCGATATCGAGAGTATTTAAAGCAACTTTCACACTACACTCAATTGTCTGTTTTAGGGCCAGCAGCGCCCTAAAAGGCCAAAACACGCGCAGACGCAGCAGGCCAGCCAACGGGGTGATGAGCCAGAGCATATGATCGAGTACTTGGATACCCAGTAAGCAGTAGTCAGAGAATATATTGGCAGCTCACTGGACAGCTAATGGGAATCGGTGCTTGGATCCTGGATAGAACAAGGAAATGTCCAGCTAAATTGTAGCATCTGTATTTATATTTAAAGTTTAAATATTCATAAAGTAGGTACATGCATACCATCAACCCTCGACCCTCCTTCTACAGGGTATCATAACAAAAGCTTAGTAATTTTCGCTCAGTATTTATTTGTATGCTGCACAAATTTGGACACATGTTGCATACCAAACAAATGCACACAACGTAAAAGGATACTTTTTATGCCCCGATTCCTCGATTGGCCCGAACCCCAACCCCAACCCCAACCCCAACCCGAGGCCCAGGCCAAACGCCAATAATTTATAAAGCGGACAATAAAATGTTATCAAACATAAAAAAAATATATACATACATATATATATTTGTATGTACGATGCGGAGAGGCAGGCAGCACAGAAGAGTCAGAGGAATACTTCGGACGACAGACAATCGAGAGAGTCGACAGGCTGAACTAAATGCCGCACGCCTGCGCATGCTGAACAAGCAGCAGGCAGGGGCAGGGGCAGGGGCAGGGGCAGATGGACGGAGATTGCTTGAGGATTCCTCCTTGGGAGCTCTGGGTCCCACTGATGATATATGAAATCATATAACAGCAATCGGCAGGCGCAGTCACAGGCACACAAGAGCCACAGAAAGAGCAACACAGCAACACAGCCACAGAGCCACACAGCCACAGAGAACGCATAAAGTGTGTGTTGTTTATTAAGCGCGCCGGAAAAATGACACAACAACAACAGCAGCAGCAACAACAGCAACAACAGCAGCAGCAACAACAACAAAACAGAGATCGTTGGTTTGGGCTTATAATTTATGGGGACTTCAGCAGGTTGGCTTAGAGAATTTGCCACAGTTTATTTATGAGGCACACGGCCACAGAGCCACAGCCACAACGCAGCAACGAAGAAGAGCCCAAGCCGTGCAACACAATAGAAATGGAAATGAAGTCAATCGAGAGATCAACAATCGAATGCAAAGATGCAAATGAGATTGGCCATGTCAAGAAGTGGGCTAAGCAATCAATCTCGGTTTGGAAATACGATTCAAATGGAAGGCCTTTGATAGGTAATAAATGATAAGAGACGATAAACTATGGATCTAGGTATCTGCGTTATAGGGATATAGGGAGGGGAGAGGTTACCTTGGAGGGGGTCTTAAAGTTCTCGAGACTATTGGTAATTACTAAGAGGTTGAATCTTTACTTTGAACTGAAACTATAGATCCTAAAAGTATTAATTGAAAATAATTAAAAAATATCTAAGAAATAATTACAAATAAATCCCTTCTAAGCCCAATTAAAATGTCCCATACATACATATGTATGTACATCTAAGTACAATATCTATGACTAATGATCAATTTCAATCACATTCCAATAAGTATTCTTCATCGGTCACATGATATCCGAAGCCGAAGAGCCGCCAAAAAGAGCAACAAAACGGAATACGTGAACGAAACCCGAAATAAAATTTAAATAATTCGCCGAGCCATTCAATCTATATTTAAAGCGAAAATTGATCATAAAATGTGCCGGGCACGTTTCGAAATTAAATCATTTTAGTTGAGCATGAAGCCGCGCCACGAAGGCTTTTTCTCGTGCATAAATATAAACCAGAAAAAAAAAGTAAAACATAAAAACAAAGAAACGGCTACAAATCGAATCAAATCTATGGCAATCTTGACTTTTAAATGATTTTTATAACACTTCTGCGGGTGATTTCTTCAATAAAACAATAACAAATCACGAGGAATGCCATGGGTTTAATGGCGTGGCAAAAATTTAATGACACCAAACGCCAACCCCAACCGTCCCACCGTCCCACCCCCCCTATTGTTTGAATTCTACTCCTCTTTTAATGGATTTTTCGTTTCGTTTCGGAACGGATCGGCATGGCACGGCATGGTTTTGTTTCTTGTTTTGATTTAAAACTTGTAAACGGGACCATAAAACAAAACCAAAATAGAGCTGAGTGCGTGCTAAAAGTAGACTAATGGGTTTTAATTTGAACGAACCAACGAACCAACGAACCTTATAAAATTCTCTAAGCTTTGCTATTGCGGCGAAAATTCAAATCAAATCAAATTCAATAAATTGAATAATCGATCGAATGTAAGTGGATTTGATAAACTTTCTCTGACGGTCGCGTCGCCCATTCGAAAATTAAATCACTTTACGCACTTTAGGCTCCGCCTCGAGAGCCGGGCTCCAAGATTCGGGCCTTGCGATAGGCATCTCTCGGATTCATTGCGGCGGCGCCTTAAACAAACAACAATTTGCCCGCTTTTGTTGTGTACATATATGTATATATGGATATGTATGTGTGTGTGTGTATATTGTTCAATATACATTTGCGTCCCAATGGAGTAATTTACCACTTAACATATCAATTGTGCGGCTATTAATCAAACAACAGACGAGTCTGAGTCGGAGTCTCCGTCTCCGTCTCCGTCTCGTACTCGTACTCGTAGATCGAGCCTCTCTCTGTCCGATCCCTGCTTTGATTTGTACGCATCGCTTGTCAAACAAGTGAAACAAAAGAAGAAAAGATACAGAAGACAGCGCACACACACACACACACAATTTCTCATATCGCAAATGTCCATCAAAGTCTCCAGCAAAGCAGCAAAGAGGCAAATCATAATAAGAGCATAAAAAGTAGAATTTTTAACACCTCACTCCTCCACACTTGAGTTCTTTTGTTCTGCCCTGGACACAGTAGCCCCCCCTCCCCCCGCTTACCCAGTCCCCAGTTTCATAGCCTGGTACCTCATTGGCAGTTGGACATCCCAACAGAGGGCGATCGATAAACGCTTCGGCGCATTCCTCTCGAGATCTCGAGATCGAGATGGAGACCGAGACCGAGACCGAGACAGGGGCCCAGGGGCCAAAAACTATTCCATTGGGGCTGTCAGATGACGCCGTCTAATTGCTTTTGTTTGCTCCACTAAGGTGCCTAACGAATTCGAGTGCTCGGAGAGCACACAGAAATATAACAACTCAATACGAAAACGAAACAAATATCTCAAACTCCTTGAAATGATAGATGGGGGATGGCGTTGCCAATGGGGATGGGGATGGGGAGATGCCAGAGAAGTGCAGGGAAAACACTTAAGCGCCAAAGTATATCTTTGATCTTTTGAAGAACTGACCCCACTCGACTGCTGCCGTTGATGGTCGAGTTTTAGGCCAAAAGGTTTTGCTTTATTTCTCCACTTTTTGTTGTTGCCTTAATTTTGTTCTTTTAGTTCTGATGATCTGAAGAGCTGCAGAAGAGGGCAGGTGGGAGGAATGATTTGTATAGACTGGATTTATTATATTCCTGATATTCAATCAGCTTCCATCTAAATCAAATTCTTTTTAACCGCAAACCGCTCCAACTTTTCAATTGTTCTGCTCGCTAGCGCCCCCACTGGGAAGTGTGGTCATTTTGCGAACTATCTCTGCGCCGCCGCTCAAAAGTATGCTGCAAATTATTGACTTCTCTGTTACGCTTTGACAGTGCTGTTACTGTGGGCCGCAACGTTTTAACAGCGCGCTGGCTGTTGCTCTTTTACAGTTCGCTGTCTGTTATACTTGCATACGCTGTTAAATAACACTAGTATAACGAAATACTGTGCCCGGACTGGGGGGTCACAAAGTCCAGCTTGACTTGGGCCTTCTACTGGGAGCGTGAGCCGTTTGATTGAGTGCAGCGAATTGGTCTAGGTATCGCCAGCCCACCTTGTGCATTTGCGGGAAGAATGGTGCAGAATCGGGCCACATCGGAGCAGCCGGAGCTGCTCCACAATGGCGAAACGGTTTAGAAATTTTTGAAAACACCTAAAACCAGAACAGGTAAAAAGACGGCTGCTAGCAGAGATAATTTTAATCTTAACTTTTCAGTGCATCGCTTGACAATATCGACAGTAAATACGAATCCTGGCTCCCGAATCCGTTGACAGTTGCTGTTGCAGTTCGCTGGCTGCAATTCTTGCATACAATAACAATTGCATTGGGTTTATTCTGTTGGCTTTTTATGGACAGACTTGTGTTTCGTATGCCCTTTTTCTGAGCAGGAGAGTCTCTTTGGAATGCTAAATGCTAGGCTAAAACCTAGCCTGGATCTTTGTTTCTGGGCTGCAGTTATTTAACGTTTCGTAGGCCCAATATAACAGCGCCCTGTTAACCCTAGCTGCTAACCCCATTGGCGTGCTGTTAGGCGCTGTCATTCTTCAGCTGTTAATGCCTCACGTCACGTTCTATGTTAATTTAACGTAATGTATTCACATCAAATTCAATTAAAACAAATTGCATTCATTTCTGTTCACTTAATTATTCACTTATTATTTGCAACATTATTTGTAAAGCAACAACACCCACACATACATATTTGAGTGTGTGTTCAATATATTGTTTATGTATACATATACATATGTACTATGTATTTATGTACTCGTATGTATGCATGTATTTTGTTTTTGTGGGGGGGTTCTTTAGGAAAAATTGCGCGCAATAAAGTAACAAATGTCTCAGGATACTCATACACAATTATTTAATTTTATTATTTATATGTATGTATGCATTATCCCATTGTATATGAATAGGTATTTATGTTTATATGTATATGTACTGGCATTGGTATTGGTATTTGTATTTATAATAGCCATATTATCGTTTAGAAGTAAGCATTCTATCTGTACAAGATCTTTCGTTTGGTTTCTGTTGAGTTTCTGGAGAACATAGAGGAGAGGGAGGACGATAGACATATGGCTCGGAATATGACCCTCAATCGTCCAAGATGATGCTGAAAAGAGTGGCATTCTTAGACGTTGCTAGGGGGTTGTGTTGTGTTGTCCTTGGGGACTGACTTACATGCGTTTCCTCAAAGATTTTCGCTTTCTGCGGAGCTTTTTGTATGTAAATTTTCTGGGTGAGATTTTGTAGTCTCCATCGAACTCCAATTCGAGTTTAATGAGATTTTGCAAATTTAACTGGCAGTCCTGTAAACAGACAACACATTAATATCCGTAGGGGGTATGTTTGTGGGTCTATTGCTTTACCTCCAAGTTCTTGAAGTGCCAACGGGAATCATTGGGGGAGGCCCCGTCGCTGGAGAGCTCGCTGAGACAGGTGCGCATGATGGGCCAGCACTGGCAGCGCTTGTTGGTGATCTCGCAGCCCGGCTGCAAGACAATCGACTCCCCCTCGGTACAGTTGTCATGCGAGGAGGTCAGGGCGGTCAGGTGTTGCAAATCTATCCAGAAATTAAACCGCAATCAATGGATGGATATATGCGGATTAATATACACATTAAATGTCCATTAAGGCATTAAATGAACTTTTGATTTTGGCAGCGCATTAACAGCGATAACCATGCAAGCGAAAATGTTCAATTTAAATTCAAATTACGGCCTGCTATATAAAGCGTACTTCGTTGAACATTTTCCGCTTAGTTCTCATAGAACCAATATTATAAGGATGTTTGCACGTGCTGCCCTCTGCTGCTTCATACTACTTCTGCGCCTGGAACTGGGCCACGCAAAGGTTTGTTCTGCACCATCTTCAAGGGAGTGCAAAGTAACCGAGGAGTAACCGCCCCCTTCTTCGATTCGTTTAGAATAACTATGAGATCATTATAAACACTCTGAAGTGCCGCGCTGTGAGGCCGTTGGCCATCACTGAGATGAACTGCATCCTCCATCGCAAGAGGACACCCATAATATCGGCCCGATTTCAGCTGAACGAAACCTTCCAGTACTTCGACATACACACGACGTTCGATCTGTACAAGAAGGATAATACCCGCATGAACGTGGCCGACTTGAAGATGGATGGCTGCAAGTACTTGGGCTCCATGTACGAGAGCAATATCCTGGGCAAGCTCTTCAGGCGTTTCAAGAAGTTCACCAATTTGCCCACAGGCTGTCCGATTCTAAAGGTGCGTACCGTACTCTGTGTGTTTGCTGTGCTTGGATTTGAGTTGAAATTGTGAAGCACTTAAAACAGAGAGCGAGAGTGAAATTTGTGCTGAGAAAACTATTTAATGAAATTAAACTTCCGTTTGCTTCCCCATCCCTTGCCCTTCCCCTTCCCTATTCCTGCCCCAAGTCTCGAACAAAGACAAATATTTTCGTGTGCACAAAATAACTTTTCAATAAACAAAAGCAAATATTTGTCAAAATTCAGCAACAGCAACAACAGCAGCAGCAGCAGCAGCTACCTCCTACCATGTTTATTTGTGGAGTGCAGAGCTATTTCATTTCCAATTTCAACTCAAATTCCATCGCATCGCACAATCTGGGGCCGCTGGGGCGCATTACGGCTAATTCTGCACCCAAACTGAACGCACAAACTGATGCCCATTGCATTATGCAGGGAAAACTGTACGAGATACGCAACTATACATTCCGATCGGACGAGTACCCGCCCAACGTGCCAGGGGCCAAGTGGCAAGTGCGGACGAGGCTGCTGAGGCGAGCGGAGGTGATTGGGGATATATTAATGGAGGGCCAGCTGGTCTATAATACGTGATGTTACTGCATAATGGATGCGACTAAATACATATGCGATATAACCGACATAACCCCCCCACAGGACGGCTGCTGTTAAATATATGTTCTCCTCTATTTCCTGCACCCACCACCCCCACCACCCTATGGAATACTCACCCATGCACACGCCCAGACCGCTGCTAATGGGCAGCTTGGTCACACACTGCAGGGGCGGCTCACATTGGCCGGAAAAACCGCCGGGACCGCCGCAGGATTCGCCCAAGGTCTTGGCGCAGATGCGACAACATCTGTGAATAGAAGTGAATAGATATATATGTATGCTGGACAGTACTGTACTGTATGTATGTATGTATGCATATTGGAGTGTAATAATTCCGTAAATGAATCCCAGTGGCAATTGATTCGATTCTGACTGCGGCTCCGATAAGCGTTAACAATTAGTTAACACCCTCAATTGAATCGGGGCTTTAGCGCGGAATGCGTGATGTGAATGCGAATGCGAATGGCTGATGAGAGAGTACGTGACCCACGATTGGCATTTGGCACTTGGCACTTGGCACTTTTCAAGAATGGTGAGACATCATTTCCCCCAACTAAGTTACTGGTAATTAGCATGGGTGTGTTCTGGATATCCCAGGGAACTCAAAAGCAAGCCGAAAACATTTTGTAAACTGCTCTTACCATTTCTTAGCTTAACTTAGCATTCTTTCAATATTATAAGAGTTTTCAGCGTGCATTTTGAATGAACTTCTGGCTCAGAGCCTTGAGCAAAGAGTACGGGTATGTGGGTATATGTTTTGGGTAGGAAATGTTTGCCACATTCCGCCTGCTTGCTCTTAAAAGCCAAAACCAGCTTCGAAAGAGATTCCCGGAACACACTGCTATTTGGATAATCATATAATTAAGAGGCTTCGCTCCGCCCACCCACAAGACAACCGCACACCCGGACGGCCACACGCATCACCGAATGAGATAATATTTTCGGGGGGGGTGGCGAAGCGGGTGGCTGTGGGTGGCTGTGGGTGGGGAATCCACTTACTTGCATGGATCCCAGAGCATCAGGCCCTTGCCGGGGCAGTCGAGCGAGCGTATTACATCGCATTCCTTCGGATTGCAGTAGCATTTGAGGCCGTTTACCACATTGTTGCTGCCACCAGATGCGGCCATTATCAGCAGCAGATAGCACCACAAGTAGATGAGGAACACGCTCACGTTCAGGCGGCCAAAATAACTTCCGTTCCGGCGCATCCTATGCGGAAGTTTGTTGGCTTTGTTGTACTGTTCGACTACTCCACCACCCACCACCCTGTGTGGTTCTCCTGGTCCTCCTCCTTCTGCTTCTACTGTCGATGCTGCTGCTGCTGGTGCTGCTTCATCTTCTCCTCCTGCTGTTGTCCTTGTGCGTATATCCATGGCCTCCACATCCAGCGAACGACCGTCCTGCCTTCCTTTTCCCCTTCCTTTGGCTCTTCCGCCCATTTATAGGCAATTTTTATTGTGCTTTTGCTGCGGGTCCTCCTTCTGCTTCTGCTTCTGCAGCTGCGGATGCTGGTTCTGGTTCTGGCTCTGGCTTTGGCTCTGGTCCTGATGCTGGCTCTTTTTTGGATGGGGATCGGTTGTGGGTCCGACGCAGGCAATTTGCATGTTGACTGCAAAAGGCAAGAGCGTTGTTAAATGATTAAAAAGCCATAAACTAGGACCGCTTTACCCCCGCCCAACGTTCTCTCCCCTCTCTCAAACGTCGCTGAATTGGCTTTTCCGCCCCCCCGCCCACAATCGAAAATTGAAAAGTTGTTTTGCGGAAATCGGTTTGCCGTCTAATTTCATTAAAATTTCATCGCCCTGCCAAAAGGGAAATTGATACGAGAGTGCCATATTTTGGCCATAATTTATTTAAATAGAAATGTCTCTGGAAAGCGCCCAAATGCGATGTAATTGGTTCGGGAAACGGACATTTAAATGCCTGCCAACAGAGAAAAAGTTAATTGAATAAAAAATATACAACATTTCAGTTTTTGCTCGGTCCATGATATATATCGGGCCCCAATTCATTCCATCTATCTATTGTAAAGAGCAAAATAAGGATTCTAATTGCTAAATCAACCTTTGACCTAATGAACTGCCACCACAGGCCTGGATTGCGGTTCCACTGCGACTTCTAATAAACATTAACCTTTGATTTCGATTTCGAACTCCAATGTGAAATTTAAACAACGAATTTCGACTATTGGCTGGCGAGTTAATTAACCAAAAATTGGCAGGGGCCAAAATCAGAGAGTGGAAAATGAACGCGTGCCCAAAAGGCTGAAACAAAAATCAAAATAAAATGCAAAAACAAAGAACAAAAACCAAAAAACCAACAACCAACACAAAAAATACAAAAACTTCAGAAATTAATTTGAGCGAATCCCCAAAAGAGTCGCCCCCTCACATGCCGTCGAAAGTTGTTGAAAGCCAGAATGGGAGAGAGCGAGAGAGAGGGATATAGGAAAGAAAGAGACAGAGTGTGAGGGAGGGAGTACAAAAAAGAGAGAGATAGAGCGAGAAAGAGGGAGCAAAAGGGAATGAGAGTGAAATGAAATTTGTTGGAAACACATGCCAAACTAATTTGTATTTAAACGTTTGATGTCGCCCCTCGCATGTGCCACCACCCACAGCACCTCCACCCTCCTCTGCAGCACCCATCCATCCAATGGTAGGGCTAACGGTTCGCAAGCTCCCACCATACTCCACTCCAAACTTAAGTAACACCCTGCCTGCCTACCATAGCTTGATGATTTTCCCTTCAATCAATGAAAAACTAATCAACTTTTGCTTTATGGCTCTTGATGTTTTTTTTGTTATTTCATTCGGTTCCTGCACTTTTTGGCTATGCAAGGAGGAGTATTGCCTTTCACGTTTCGCCAGGGCCAAGAGGACACTTAATGCTAGCATTTGTAGTTGTGTTTTTTTGCAGTCGGTCGGTTCGGTCGGTCGATCGGTCGGTTGGATTGTTGGTTTTGTTGCCTCTCGTCAACCACTTTCAATTTGGCATTCAATTTTGTTTTTTTGTTTTTTGTTGTGTTTTTGTAGCAGCGACACTGCCAATACAACACACACAAATGTACACACACTCGAAGCACACACACACACCGCACACACACAGCACACACACAGCACACACCTTGTTACACCTAACGACAGACGTTTAGAGGGCCGCAGGAGGAGTATAGTTCGCTCTTTATGCCGTTGTGGTTTTTCTTTCTTGTTGTTGTTGTTGTCGTTGTTGTTGTTGACGAAATACTACGATAACGACAGAGACGACAGGGACGACTACTTTAGAACGACGACGAATGATGATGGAAACGGACCGCCACGAAATTCGTATGAATTTTTCATGCGCTTTTGTCTGCCGCACGCGGCCATTTAAGTCGAGAGACTAAACTTAGTTGATATCGCCGCCTAGACCTTTTGCCAGTTAGAACGCAGCAGCAGGCAGCAGCAGCAGTCGTCGTCCCGTCGTGGGATATTTCTTGTTTGTGTTATTTGTAAGCACAAAATATCCCAATAGCAGCTCTCTGTCGGCTCTCTCTCTCTTACTCTCTCGCTCCCCAGCGCTCTGTGAGCTTGCGCAGTGAGCGTTGAGCCTGGAAGGCAGAGTTATCAGCCACAGCACACACACACACACACAGCTAACACTCGCGACAATGTTTATGCAGTGCCAAAGTACGCGATGTTCGTTACGTGTCCCAGGGAAATTTTCTCTCTTATGTTTGCCGTTAGAGTTTTACAATTATTCGATGTAAATTGATTTGGAAAAGATTATTGGGAGGTTAGCAGAAAGAGTTTTTCCTTTTATTTAGTTTCAATTTACAAATATATGTGAATAAATTGGGATTAAACATACATACATACATATGTATGTTGATTCTTGCAATACAAAGTAACGTTTTGAATTTCTGCTACGTATTTATAATTCAGAAAGTCTGTTGATAGCTGTTTTTGGCAATGCGAAACATATCAATGTGTAAAGTGACCTTTGGCACTAGAGTTTATGGTCTCTTTTTGGCGAAGAGAAATAGTCAGAGCGCTTAATCAGAGCTACTTTCCAAATTGCTTTTTCAAATAGGATGATTCGGTAATTAAATAATAATATTTATCTACACAGTGGAAATTCGGAAATTAGAACCCCCACAAATTAGCCCCATTATATTGCATTGGCGACTTTTTATATTAGCTTCACAGTTTTTCCTTTTCGGTGGACTTAAAAATACAAATGAGAGTCCCCAATTTATTCGTAATGGCGAATTTGATTCGCTTGTAGAAATTTGTGTTAGTTGATGACCTTCAGTCTAGCTGAATATTAAAATACTAAAATTAAAAATTGATAAATAACTAAATTTTTTTTATATGCATTTTATTGTGTTCCATCAATTATATATTAATAAAAAAAAATAGTTTTGTGTTAAAATGATCGTTGTGTAACTACTTTATATTGTTACATCCACTGTATCATGTAATTAGATTAGATTTTATTTTTGAGTACCATCTGATTCGCTTACTACCCGGCAATACTCCTTATCCCTGCCGTATCTCTTTCATCGCAAACCCATTCGCCGCATAAACCTCCCACACACACACACACGTAAACACACACACACTGCCATAGGAACCACTGAAAACTCTTGACGGCGAATGGCACCGCGCGACGGGTGGGCGCGAGAGCAAACAGCGGATGCAAGAACATCCTTCAAAATATAAAGTCATTTCTGTTTATTATAATTACAGGATGCAGGGGCTTATGTCCCACTCTCAGCCGCTTTTCGGCATCTTCAGCCTCTTTTGGGTGCCGAGTGCCGGCAGAGATTTCCACTACCTCCGCCTATCAGGGCGCTGCCACGCCACGCCACGCCACGCCACGACAGGCCAACATTTATCCGGGCTAATGGCCAATTTAAAAGTATGAAATTCTCATCGTTTGTCTCTCATTATTGCTGCTGTTTTTTTTTTTGGACCGAACTTTGATGATGAGGCCCGTGTCAGCTGCTAATAAGCATCGCTCTAAGCAATTTGCCTCCAATAAAAGCCACACACCGCACGGGCCTGCTCTTTCCACTGCCATTGCCATTGCCAGTTCCTCTGCGGCTGCTGCTGCTGCTCCTCCTCCTTACCCTCAACGCGTGCTCCTCCAACAACAGAGAGATACTCGTAGAGAGAGAGGGGGGAAAAAAACTTGCAACTTTTCCAATTAGCGTAAAACAGACGTTTGAGTACAAAAGTACACGATAGAGAGAAAGAGAGGAGAGAGAGAGTGGGAGAGAGTTCAAGTCCGAGCTCCAGAGATGTGGGTGCCAACGTCCAAAGGGGGCCCAACCACCCTCCACCCTCCCACTGAAGATGAATCCAATCCCAGAGTAAATGCTGGCAACCGCATCGCCTCGCACCCCATCCCATCGGATCCCTTCCCAACCAATACCATGCCATGCCCACCTCCTTCAACCAGATTTACAATTGAACAAAAGAGCAATCGGGAATTATGAGTGGGGCAAAACTTTTTCCACAACAATAACGAAAAAGAAACTGGAGAAAAAAAACTTTAAAAAAGACCAAGAATATGAAAATATGACGGAAAAGTATAAAAAAATACACACGAAAAAGAAGAACTACAGAAACACTAAAGCCGAAGCTGCAGATACCCTGCCGATCTATCGTGGTTATAAGAAATCGAGAATCAATGAATAAAGCTTTAAATATTGGCTGAAATTTTATTAATGAAAGAATTTAAAAAAGAAGAGTGCATAAATCCTTTCATTCAGATCTCTAGTTTCCATACGACTAGCAGCAATATGATGCAGCTGTCAGTACAGGGTCTAAGCCATATAGATTTATAGTCAAGAAACAAGTGTCCGGAGGCCAGAGACTGATAGAGCACATAAATTGTGGGCCCCAGCTGCGTTGCAAAGAGTTGGTGAATAGCTGAGAATATCCCCAGCTAGGGTATACACATATACATATACAAGAAACTTGTGCGCTCAACTTGATATGCTGCAAAAAGTAAATGTGCAACAATGTGGTGGAAGCAGCTTAAATTGTAAGAGCAGAGCTCCCCGCCCCCATTCCCCTCGGAATGGTGCATTTCGGCTATTAATTCTTGAACAATTGCCAGAGGCCAAAAGTTTGTCTTGCTGGGCGGTTGAAGGTGGAGGTGGAGGCGGAGGTGGAGGCGGCGGCAGAGGCGGAGGCGGAGGTGGAGGCGGTGAGTGCTCGGCCCCACTCGGGGGGCACACATTTATTTTCAATGTTTCATTACTTAACAACTTTTTGATGACAGTTTCATTGGCATTTAAACAAAAATTGAAGTGTTCTCCTCTCCCGCATAAATACCATATTTTTACACACATTTTTTTGGCTCTCGTTTTTTTGAGTGCGCCATAAAACATTAAACACGAGAAAAAACTCACAAAAGTTGGCTATGATTGCACAGAGAAGAGGCTGAGAGGCGAGAGGCTGTCGCTGCCGCTGCTGTTGCGGCTGCAAAATGAGACCATCAAAACCGAATGAAAGATAGACAGAGACGTGATAGACAGCTAGACAGAGAGAGAGAGAGAGAGAGAGACAGAGTGTGTAATGTGGGGTGAGTGATGAAATATGGTTTGTAATTCCCGTTTAT